AGGGTTCAGGTTCAATCCCCAGCCAGTTGGGACACATATGGGAGGCAACCAATCAATATTTCTCCCTCACATGGATGTTTCTCTCCACTGCCCCCCCGAAACATGTCCTTGAGTGATTAAAAAAATTAGAAAAACAAAAACAGGAAAAGTCCAGAGTAAGTAGAAGGAAGGAAATAATAAAGATCAGAGGAGAAATAAATAACACAGAAACTAAAAAACTCCCACAAAAAACACAAAAAAAATCAATGAAACTAACAGCTGCTTCTTTGAAAGATAAACAAGATTGATGAACCTTTAATCAGACTCATGAAGAAACAAAAACAGAGGACCAAATAAAATCAGAAATGAAAGAGGAGATGTAAAAACTGACATCACAGAAATAAAAAGGACTGTAAGAAAATATTATGAACTATATGCCAAAAAAATTGGACAACCTGGGTGAAATAGATAAATTCCTAGAAACATACAATCTCCCAAAACTGAATCAGGAGGAATCAGAAAACCTGAACAGACCAGTAACAAGTAATGAAATTCAAGCTGTAATCAAAAACACTCCCAGCAAACAAAGGTCCTGGTTTGGATGGATTCAAAGGCAAATTTTACCAAACAGTCAAAGAAGAACTAACACCTAGTCTTCTCAAACTCTTCCAAAAAATTCAAGAGGAGGAAAGACTTCCAAGCTCTTCTTACGAGATCAACATAGTCCTAATTCCTAAACCAGATAAAGACACTACAAAGAAAGGAAATTACAGGCCAATATCCCCGATGAACAAAGATGCTAAAATCCTCAACAAAATATTAGCAAATCAGACCCAGCAATACATTAAAAAGATCATACACCAAGACAAAGTGGGATTTATTCTGCGGATGCAAGGCTGGTACAATATTCTCAAATCAATAAATGTGATACATCACATAAACAAATTGAAGGACAAAAATCACATGATCGTATCAATAGACGCAGAAAAAGCATTTGATAAAATCTGGCACCCATTAATGAAAAAAACTTTCAGCAAAGTGGGAATAAAGGGACCATACCTCAATAAACGCCATATATGAAAAACTTACAGCCAACATCTTCTCAATGGGCAAAAACTAAAAGTGTTTCCTTTAAGATCAGGAACAAGAAAGATGTGTGGTTTCACCACTATTATTCAACATAGTACTGGAAGTTCTTGCCATGCAATCAGACAAGAAGAAATAAAAGGCACCCAAATGGAATAGAGGGAAGTAAAACTGTCATTATTTGCAGATAACATAATATTGTATATAGAAAACCCTAAAGACTCCATCAAAAAACTACTAGATATAATAAATGAATTTGGCAAAGTAGCAGGATACAAAATCCATATCCACAAATTGATGGCATGTCCACACACCAATAATGAACTATCAGAAAGAGAAACTAAGGAAACAATTCCATTTACTATTGCAACAACAAAAAAATAACGTATCTAGGAATAAACTTAACCAAAGAATTAAAAAACCTGTATTCAGAAAACTATAGGACAGTGAAGAAGGAAACTGAGGAAGATATAAATGAGTAGAAACATATATTGTGTCCATGGATTGGAAAAATTTACACCATTAAAATGTCCGTAATACCCAATGCAACCTACAAAATCAATGTAATCCCTATTAAAATACCAATGGCCTATTTCAAAGAACTAGAACAAATATTCCAAAATTTATATGGAACCAAAAAAACCCCCGAATAGCCTCAGTAATCTTGAAAAAGAAGAACAAAGTCAGAGGGATCACCATACCATATATCAAACTATACAAAGCCATAGTAATCAAAATAGCATGGTACTGGCATAACAACAGGCATATAGAGTAATAGAACAGAACAGAGAGGCCAGAAATCAACCTACACCAATATGGCCGATTAATATTTGACAAAGGAGGCAAGAGCATACAGTCGAGTAAAGACAGTCTCTTCATTAAATGGTTGGGAAAATTGAACGGGTACCTGCAAAAAAATGAAACTAGACCACCAACTTACACCATACACAAAAATAAACTCAAACTCGATAAAATACTTAAATGTAAGTCATGAAACCATAAAAACCCTAGAAGAAGGCATAGGCAGTAAAATCTCAGACATCTCTTGTAGCAATACTTTTGCCAATATATCTCCTAGGGCAAGGGAAACACAAATGGGACTAAATCAAACTAAAAAGCTTCTGCACAACAAAAGAAACCATCAACAAAATGAAAAGGGAACCCACTACATGAGAAAACGTATTCGCCAATGACATATCTGATAAGGGGTTAATTTCCAAAATACCTAAGGAACTCATACAACTCAACACCAGGAAGACAATCCAACTACAAAATGGACAAGGATCTGAATAGACACTTCTCCAAAGAGTACATACAGATGCCCAATAGACATATAAAAAAATGCTCAACGTCACTAATCACCAGAGGGAAGCAAATTAAAACCACAATGAAATATTACTTCACACCTGCTAGAATGGCTACCATCAATAAATCAACAAGTGCTGGAGAGAATGTGGAGAAAAGGGAACCTTGGTGCACTGTTAGTGGGAATGCAGACTGGTGCAGCCACTGTGGAAAACAGTTTGGAATTTCCTCAAAAAATTCAAAATGGAACTGCCTTCTGACCCAGTAATTCCACTTCTGGGAATATATTCTAAGAATCCCAAAACACTAATCAAAAACAATATATGCACCCTATGTTCATAGCAGTGCTATTTACAATAGCTGAGATCTGGAAACAGCCCAAGTTCCCGTCAGTCAAGGAGTGGATTAAAAAGCTGTGTTACATTTACAGAATGGAATGCTATGCAGCTATAAAAAGGAAGAACACTTCCCTTTTGTGACAGCATGGATGGACCTGGAGATTACAATGCTAAGCGAAATAAGCCAATCAGAGAAAGACAAATACCATATGTTTCACTTATATGTGGAATCTAATGAACAAAATAAGCTGATGAACAAAATAGAACCAGAGAAATGAATACATGGAACAGAGTGACAGAGGTCAGATGGGAGGTGGGTGAGGCAGACGGGATGAAAGAAGGTGAAGTGAATAGTCAAAGAACATATGTGCATAGCCCATGGACCCAGAAAGCAATGTGGTGACGGCCAGAGGGAGGGGAGGGTTGGGTCTGGGTAGAGGGAGACAAAAGGGAGGAAAATGGGGGGCATCCGTAATAATGTCAATAATTAAAATATAATTTAAAAAAAATTTAAGTTTCCAAGTTCTCAGGTAAGTTAAAAAAGACATCACTTTATACTTGCCAAATTGTTAAAAATTATACATATTGTTAACTTCCACTGTGCTGAGAGTGTCAGGAAAGGACATTCTCCTACACTGCTATTTGCATATAAATCCTATGACATTTTGGCATATAATCTCACATAATTTATGAAAATAAAAATGTGCTTACCCTTTTATCCATCAACCCCACTTTAAGGAGTTTGTTTTAGAGAAATAAAAGCATAAAAGTACTACTGTTCAAGGATGTTTATCAAAGCATTATTTGTAGGAGAAAAACACTGGAAATAACCTAAATGTCTATCAGGTGGAAATGGTTGAATTAATGATGTTAAATTCATATTATAATATATAATGCAACTATTAAAAGAATGAGTTTGAGCTATGTGAATTATCCCAGAAAGAGGTCTATGATAAAGCAACTTGTATAATACAGTCCCATTTTTATAAACATTTTACACAGAGGAGAAAGTCATATCTGTTTATGCACTGGTATATATATTTGTATAAACACGAAGGTGCTGAAGGAATCACACTAAACTATTAGCATTACCCCAAGAAGTGGGCTTAAAGGCATGGGAAACCTATGCAACTTGATATTATGACTTGTATTACTTTTGTAATTTACAATTAATTTTAAAATCATTTTAAAAAAAGAGATTTTAAAAAGTATAATTACAAATTATACTGTCTCCAAATGACTGTCAATTGAACTAAATTGGTACCCTAATGGTTGCAGTAATCATAGTTCAGGCTAAAATGCCATCACCAAGGTGCTAGGAAATGTGGAGAGCTTTAAGGGAGAGAGAGTGAAGACATAAATTTAAAACATGTACCAAAAAATCAAATATTCTGCACTGGAATCTGACTAGCTTTGCCATCAGTTAAAAGTTAAGTAACCCTGGGCAAACTATATGACCCCCATCACTCAAAGCCTGTTTCCTGTCTGTGAAAAGGAGAAAATAATATCAGCCTCATAGCAGTGCTGTTAGGATTAAATGATAATGCATGTAGGCACTTTCTAGGTGCCTACCAAGCCATACGTGCTCATTTTAATGCTTATCATTACTGGTATAGAAAGAGAATAAATAAATATCCAAATGATTCTTTGGATCAGAGCAGAGGAGTTAGATTATAAAAAAAATATATAGGATAGAAACATGACAGATTCTAGACCCCAGAATGTACAAGGAGTTATTAAGACAAAATGGTAAGAGAAAAAAATTTTACAAATTGAGAGTTTTAAAATTTAGAAATTTGAACAGTCATCTATTGAGGTAGACAATAATATAAATATATAATATAATTAGATATTTGATTAACTCAATAAAGCCTGGCAATCGTATATACATCTAAGGTATGTACCATCAAAAAATACTTAGGCAGTTTCAAATAAAGCAGCAAAACCACCTTTGTTCTTTTTAGATACTAACATGAAAAATACTTGCCTAAGAAGTTAATACAGGTTTTAAATTAATGAATAAACAAATATACATACATATACATGAACACATATGCAAATATACTACATGTATCACAAATCAAGTAACCCCTTATTGGAAAATGCAATTATACGATTAAGGATACCTTTTTTGCATAGGACACAAAGATTTAGTGTGTTTCTTTACAATGAATATGGATTTAATGAAAAACAAGAGACAGAGATAGGAAGATATTAAAATAGAGGGTTAATGTTTATAAAACCATTTTACTTGGCAAAAATTAAACTGTCAATGTTAAAAATTGTCCTTACTTGTTGGAAAGCTGTCCTCACACTCTGATTGACATATACCATCTGAATGTTGATTGGCTGTCAAACTTGCACTTTCTAAAACCCTATAATTGGAAGAATATAAATTGAAATTGCATAAAATAAAGTTAATATGGTCAGTTTAGCTCTACCCATAGAAACCAAGAACTCACGAAAATTGTATAAGAAATTCTGCATGTGTGTATGCATTCCTCGGTAAAAGGTCGATATATCGGGTTCCAAGGGACGCCAAATTTAAAAAAAAACCTGAGTCTAGAAAGATACAAGTGCAACAGTGGGATGATGAAACACTGTGAACTAAAATAAGTTGGCAATGTAATGGATAACATTATCAGTCAGAACAATCTCACTCTAGATTCAAGAAGTAAAATATTATGCTGCTATATTTATTACAATATGAGAACATAGTGAAACTCATATAAGATTATTAAAATAGTAAATTTAATTGATTAATTTAAAGTCATTGGTTTCAATATATTAAAATTTAGACAATATCTACACATCATTACAATATACTGAATGGGATATTTTCTATATCTCTAAAGATATGCAGATGATTTTTATTTCTCTAGAATACTTGTCAAAAACTTTCTGTACACAGAGACTACTAGAAATACATCAGGGAAAAAGAATTGCATGTATCTAGCAGGATTTAAGGTACTACTTGCTTTCTGAAAACATCTAAAAGTTTTAAAAATATGATACTCTAAAATACTTCTGTTACCTATTTTATCAGCAACAGGCACTTTAGAAAGGCCAATTTCTTTTTTTTCATGGTAGGATCAAGTATATTTGGAATGCTAGATAAGTACAAATTTTTCCAAACTTTAGCTAAGCTCCAGTTTCCACTCTCTGTTGCTGTCCTTGGAAAATGTGGCAAATGATAGAAGAACTATGTACAAGAACAGAAGCACATGAAGTGGAAACATTAGACTATACCCTAGCTCTGCTACTATTTAGCTATTTAAACCTACAATCACTTGATTTGGTTCATCTCACTAAAAAAATGAATGATGCCACAGAAAGCTATGAGGATCAACTACAAGGAACCTATTAGATCCCCCCCTTACCATTCCAGAACAAAATTATCTTGAAAATCACCTTAATTAATATCTTATTTACAATTTTTAAGTAGATATTTAATAAGCTTACTTTTTCAGTTGATCCACATCAGAATTGCTTTCTGGTAAGACTCTGATTCCCCGACCATAACTGGTACCTCCATGGAGATGAAACTCTAGAGCTAATAATGCTGCTTGGCTCTCCGAATTCACTGACTGAAGTTTGGTATGGAGGCTATAAATTCTAAGAAAGCTTCCAACCTAAAAAGAGATTATTTTTTTTAGTAAATGGAGAAAAATCAAACAATTTCTAGTATTCAAAATATTTAACAATCACATGGTGCACAGACCAACAACCAGGGGCAATGACCAGTCAGAAAAGATTGGTGGTGTCCTGAATATCAGCCCCAAGGATATTAAAACCAAAATGTGTGTGTATACACATATTAAAAAGTAAGTCATATTTCCATTTCAGAGATATTAAAGTATGAAATAAGACTGAGTCTTAGCACTGATAAATTATAGTAGTTAAGAAACCCATGACCTAAATCAAGTCCAAGCCCCCTATTTGATTAATAAACCTATTTGATTAAGATTTCTGAAAATAACTTGTCTTAACTACTTTAATGCAAGAGTTAATTAAATATGATCACTAAAACACTCTCATTGTTAGAATATTAGAAAATAATTTAAAATCTGCTACTATATCACCTAGCTAGTGTGGCTCAGCACTTGAGCACTGACCTATGATCTAGGAGATCCAGGTTCGATTCCCAGTCAGGGCACATGCCTGGATTTCAGGCTCAATCCCCAGTAGGGGGCAAGCAGAGGGCAGCCAATCAATAAGTCTCTCGTGACTGATGTTTTTCTCTCTCTTTCTCTCTCTTCCTCTCTCTGAAATCAATAAAGACGCATTAAAAAAATAAATCTGCTACTATATCAAAACAATACACCCCCTATTCCACAAGTTCTATGAAAATTTTTGTAATAAACAGTTTGCGTCCAGCCCAGTCGGGCATGACTCAGCAGTTGAGCATCAACCTAGGATCCAGGCGATCGGGGTTCGATTCCCGGTCAGGGCACATGCCCGGGTTGTGGGCTCGATCAATGACTCTCTCATCATTGATGTTTCTGTCTCTCTCTCTCCCTCTCCTTTCCTCTCTCTGAAATCAATAAAGATATATTTAAAAAAAAAAAAAAGTTTGTGTCCATACATCATAATGTGAAACATTCCATGACTTCAAATATAGGATTGAAACCATTAGAATTTGAAACTAAATGTTCTATAGTTAATTTCTATAGTTAAATTTTGCTAAACTTAATCTTAAAATTACCTTTAATTATAGAGTATTTGACATGCTTTTAATGTACAAGACTTAAAATGAGGCAGATGGAGATTGTTTATCAAAGAAATTGACACCTACTCAAAAGAAGAAGCTATATAACTTAAATCACATTTATTTTTATGAAGAGATATGAAAAAAGGAGATACCAAGCAGGAAATTTAATTTATTTGTAGAAGATAGTACTCTTGACTACAGATGACTCTGAAATACAATTCTTTTTTCCCTTCAAGGGCAGAATTGAATAACAGTGATAAACGCTATGCAACAGCAAAGCTATATAAGGGGAAATATAAAAAAGAGCCAGGCAGCTCAGTTGGTTGGAACATCAACCTGTACACCAGAAGATTGTGGGTCTAATTCTCAGTCAGGGCACATACCTAGGGTGCAGGTTCGAACTCTGGTCGGGATGCCTACAGGAGGCAACTGATCAATGTCTCTCTCTCTCCCCCCTTCCTCACTCTCTAAAAATCAATAAAAAAACCCAATAATAAATAAATTAATCAATCAATCAATTAAAAAGATGAGGTAGTAAACCAACTCTCCAACTCTGCTTATTGCTGTCTCAGTTAATTGTATTTCTCCTCACCACCCTCTGGATTTAACAGAGGGGAGAAATGGGAGAAAAAAGGGGAAATAATCTGCACTCCCAGATGCCACTCCTTCATTCACATGGATCTTTTTGGCCTCCAAAAATATATTTTGTGAGGAGTAGGTAAGGCAGTTAGTTATTTCTTCACTCACCTCTTCCACTAACATCTACATCATGGCAGGGGAACAGTGTAGTCAAAGAGGGAAAACACAGGAGGATTAAAGATGGGGCGGACTGAGTGGAAGCTACACTTACACTCTCCCAAAGATCAAATGAGAATTACAACTAATATATAGAAAACCATCCTGAATAATCAACTGCAACTGAAGCCGAGCTGGAGAGCACCCTCATCGCCAAGGAGGAAAAGCGGAGACCGAACAGAGACTGGCAGGAAGTGCAGAGGCACGAGAGGGCTGGCTGGGCTCCCACGGGCAGAAGCTGAAGATCCGGAGATCTCAGCTGTGGGAGTTCCCACTGAGGACTCTGGGGCCTAAACCCCAGGCTGGGCTTCCCAGCCCAGAGCACCAGAACTGAGAAAGGTGCTCACATAACATCTGGCTGTGAAAAGCAGCTGGGTTTCTGTCTACCAGAGATAAATGGCTGGAAATGCAGGCACCTTCTTAAAGAGCCAACACACAAAGTTTCCTGCACAGCCATTCACCTTAGGCTCCAGCAGAGGGAGGGCAGAGTGGACTAGAGCTGTCTGAGGAGCACCTAGAGTTGTGGGCTCTGGAGATTGAGATCAGAAGGCACCCTGTGCAGAGTCATTCCCCCATACTGCAAAGGACATCTTTTTCAGGCAGACATTTACCTTCCAAGCAGCTTTTGTGGAGGGGGGGAGGGGGTTGGACGGGATAGTTGCCCCACCCTGCTAGAAAACCTCTCACCCTACCCAGTGGAGTTTCTATAGCCTGAGGCTCCTTAAGAGACTGATAACAATCAGCCACCCCACCCTGTGGAGTTTCTACAGCCTGAGGCTTATTAAGAGAATCAGATTAATCAGCCTGCAGGCAGAGGCAGGCCTCAGAGAACTTCGAGTCNTAGGCCTCAGAGAACTTCAAGTCTTTGCCAGATCTGCTCCGGGACCTGGGCCTTGGAAAAGCAGACTTTNAACTTCGAGTCTTTGCCAGATCTGCTCCGGGACCTGGGCCTTGGAAAAGCAGACTTTGGTGTGCATCTTGGTCCTGTCCAAATGCACCCAGCACCAGCAGAGGAGATCTCAAGCTGGGGGTTGTTGATAGCTCCAAAAAGGGTACTCGGGGCCAGTCACAAACTGTGTCTGACACTGGCCTGCACCAGAGATCCTCCAAAAAGACTGAGAGTACCTGCAGATCTACCTAGTACATAGAAACAAACCCAAATAAGCAGCCAAAATGAAATGGGGAGACCAAAAAACGAGCCCCAAGTGAAAGAACAAGAGAGGTCTCCAGAAAAAGAACTAAATGAAATGGAGATAAGCAATCTGTCAGACATAGAGTTCAAAATATTGATTGTAAGGATGCTCAACAGCATGAAAAAAGATATGGAAACCATCAAGGACATTAAGAACGACATAGCAGAAATAAAGAATACATTGGAGCCCGGCCGGCCATGGCTCAGTGGCTGAGCGTCAACCTAGGATCCAGGAGATCAGGGTTCGATTCCCGGTCAGGACACATGCCCAAGTTGCGGGCTCGATCCCCAGTCGGGGGCGTGCAGGAGGCAGCCGATCAATGACTCTCTCATCATTGATGTTTCTATCTCTCTCTCTCGCTCTCCTTTCCTCTCTCTGAAATCAATAAAGATATATTTAAAAAAAGAAAGAAAGAAAGAATACATTGGAAGGAATAAACTACAGAGGAAGCTGAGGATTGGATCAGTGAATTACAAGACAGGGTAAAAAAAAAACACCCAATCAGAGATCCAAAATGGAAAAACAATAAAAAAACAGGAAAGTTAAGGGAGCTGTGGAACAGCATGAAACTTAACAATATTTGCATCACAGGAGTGCCAGAAGAGCTTGAAAGTAAGCAAGGATTAGAGAACCTGCTTGAAGAAATAATGGCAGAAAACTTCCCTAACCTAGTGAAGGAAAAATTCACACAAGTTCAGGAGACAGAGAGAGTCCCAGGCAAGAAGAATCCAAAGAGGCCCAAGCCCAGACACATCATAATTAAAATGCCAAGAATTCAAGACAAAGAGAATCTTAAAGGAAGATAGAGAAAAGCAATCTGTTACCTACAAAGGAGCTCCCATAAGGCTGTCAGCTGACTTCTCATCAGAAACTCCACAGGCCAGAAGGGAATGGCATGAAGTATTCAAGGTAATGCAAAACAAGGATCTGAAACCAAGAATACTCTATCCAGCAAGGCTATCATTCAAAATAGATGGTGAAATAAAGAGCTTCCCAGACAAAAAAAGGCTAAAGGAGTTTATCACCACCAAACCAGCACTGGAGGAAATGTTAGAGAGACTGCTGTAATTAGAAGTAAAAATAGAAGCATTACAATAAATGTTAAAGGGACTGCTGTAATAATAAGAAATAGAAAGAGAAACAGGCATAAAGAATTAAAATGGCAATAGATAATAACCTTAAGGTGAAAATAGACTGAGGAACAAAATAGATCCAGAGACATATAAGCATGGAACAGACTGATGAATTTCAGTGGGAAGATGGGATGTGGGAGTGGGTAGGGAGGGATTAATCAAAGAACGTATATGCATAACCCATAGACACAGACAATAATTTGGTGAAGGGGGGGTGGAGGGGATCAATGGGGGGGAAAAGGGGGGATATTTGTAATACTTTCAACAACAAAGATAAATTTAAAAAAAAAATGAAAGAAGGAAAACACAAAAAGAAAAAATGACTTTCCTCATGGTATCCAAAGTAAGGTATTCAAAGAAAATATAAAAGTCTATTCCTATTTACTTTTATCTGACTTTTCTGAATGTTTATTATAATTGGTGATTCTTTTTAAATACATATATCGGCACAGTACATGTAAGTCTTACAAAGGACTTAAAGGAGGCCAAGCACGGGGAGGAAGATACCATATTAATGAACAAAAAGCTTCAACATTATAACTTCCCCTTAATTAATCTTTAAAAATCAATGGAATTTCTACCAAAATGCCCAATGTCTTTCATAAAACATGAAAAGTGGCTCTGAAAATGTATATAAAATAGACAAGTCAATTTTGAAGACTAAGCTGGGGATGGAGTCTGGACTAACAGAATATTATTTAAAAATAAAGGTATAATAATTAAGAGAGTCTGGTTTTAATGTAGACACATGTATGAACATAGATAAATCCTAAAAATGTCAAAGAAAACAAAAAATTACAGAGTGATACATATACAATATACATTTTTCAGACAAAATTACATAAAAGTATAATAAACGTGGGTATGATGCCTACATGGTAGGATACGTAGAAAGAGGACATAGGGGAGCAAAAAATGAGAACAAGGGGAGGAACAAAGAAGGTTCAGTATGCAGTTTTATTTCTTTAAAATTAAAAGTATCTACAATAAGTGTGGCAAAACATTTAGAAATGTTTGAATAGCAAGCGCATCAATGTTTATTTTAATATCTCCTCTACTGTTGTATTTCAAAATAAAACAAAATTTAAAGACCAAGAGAGAATTTATTTATATAAATAAATAAAGATGACAAATTGCTATTTCCAGAAATTCCTTCTGGAGGCAGCATTGTATTTTTTAAGCTTTCTAAGTATATTAGGAAATATGACAGATGCTCTATTATAATAGACAGATATTGCTTAGTCCTGTCAATAATGTGATAAGATTCCAGAAATACAAGTGAGGGAGTCATAATCAAACAACTGTAAAAAATACTTTAAAAAATTGTTACAAAAGCCCGTTTCAATGCAAAAACATAAAAAATAAAGCAAAGTAAATATGGGTATTAAGAAATCACTCACCCTTTAGAAATAATTTAACGATTCCTTATAAACTCTCATGAATTTCACTTTAGGTTTAATATTTTAAAAACCTGTGTATGTCTGAAAAAAAACAGTCAAATTATATCTCTTGGGTCACTGAAGGCCAAACATAATTATTGCTACATGTTTTATAATTATTTTTTAAATTGTGTCAGGATAATACTGGAGATTAAAAATACACTGCTTTAACTTCTAGACAAAAGGTTTAAATTGTCAGTTTGTGTGTGTGTGTGTGTGTGTGTGTGTGTGTGTAAAATGTTTAGGCTATGAGATATCTTAAAAGCAAGATTTAGGAAGAATGTTATGGGCAGCCTAGGCTGTAAAATGCTTTATATATAGAAGTCAATTGCATTTACTTATGATTGCCTTAACTGACCTCTTTATTTAAAAAAGCACATTTTTTTTCGTGTTCCTATACAGTAAAAATGTGTTCCATGTATTTCAGTACAGAAGTGGAATTTTAAACACTGATAAGAATTCATTTGTATCAATGTCAGCTGCCTCTGGGATTTCTTAAATTAATATGAAATGGTTGATAGATTGTCCCAGAAAAAGTAAAATGTGTTGTCGATGTTCATTAATAAAAGCCTACGGTTACATTACTTATTCACCAAGAAAATCCTTTTCATGTTTCTATTACACTGCAGATAAATATGTCACATCTTCAGAAAAAAATTAAGCGCACTATATTTTAATTGTGTGCTCAGAGCACCCTCTAGTGGGTGAGAGTAAGCAGACAAAAGGGGAGATAAAAAAATCTGAAAAAAATTCACAGTACTCACTGATTCACTCATTTCCTAACATATTATTTACCTCACCTATACTACACGGAAAGCGTGGTGCTGGGTGCTGATCAGGACCTGGATAAGGAATACGGGGCAAGCGAGGGGACCAGAGGGCATACAGACGCAGCACAGGGAAAGATAACGGCATGAAGTGGTGAAAATAGATCTAAAATGTAAATCTTTTTCACTTATAAAAGAAATCTTAATTTTAAAAAACTTCAGAACTAGCTTTAATGTTACAGTTTTTTGAAATAAACTAATCAATGTAGATAAAATCAGGGAAAAGCATCAAAGATATATCTCCAATAGTTAATTTTCTCTAATATGCCAGAACATGTGGACACACACACACACTAAAGGAGTAAGAAAGTGCAGTTATCACCATCCTGGACCCTGACTTTAAACTAATTTATTTATCTGGGTTGATGGGCTTTATCTGTAACACAAAGTGTAAGTGGAAATTATTTCTTCTTCCAAGTACAAGTATTTACAAAGGAAAACTGGGCACTAAAATTCAGTTCTAAAAAAATTTCAATTCACTTATAGTTTTCTTCCTCTAAGTAGGCTGTATAACTTCCTATAAGTAGGCTGTGTATCTAACTCCCTAAAGGTGGGATGGGAGCTACTGGCAATAAAGAAAATAATTTCTTTATACTGGTTAAGAGGACTGGTTCTGGAAACAGACATTTGAGATTCAAATACTGGCTTTACCCAAGTAGCTGTGAATTCTTGGGCTTAACCTCTGAGTGTGTCAGTTTTCTCATTTGTAAAATGGAATGACGATAGTACTCACTGCACAGGATAATGCTCAATACAGATGAAGTGTGTAACAAATATTATTATTATTGCTACTATTAATGTTGCTGTTCTTTGCTAGAAAGAATATTTGCAAATAAGATATAATAAAATGAAGAAAAATATTCCTTAAAATGTTATTACCAAGCAAAAAGTACCACATCTAAAGAGTGTACTTTTCTCTAAGACTATAACCCCAAAACAGTGAGCAAATTCTAATAGTCAATTGATGATGGTAGAGGGGGATTACCCCTAAACCTAACCTAATTTTTTTTTTTAATATTATCTTTTTTTTTTGGTTAATCCTCACCCAAGGATATTTTTTCCATTGATTTTCAGAGAGAGAGACCTTGATATAAGAGAGACATCGACTGGTTGCCTCCCACACACTCCCGGACCAGGGCTGGAGATGGAACCTGCGATCCAGGTATGTGCCCTTGACTGGGAATCAAGCCTGAGGCCGTTCAGTGCACCAGCCAGTGCACTACCTCTGAGAACACTGGCCAGGGCCTAACCTAATTTCTTAAACTAATAAGTTCAAAGACTAGATTTTATCAAACCAAAAATTAACGAAGCTTAATGTTTAAATTTACAAATATTTGTAAGTCCTTTGTCATTTTAAAGCAGTATGTCTTACACAAAAAAATTTTCTTTATATTTTTTTAGTAATATTGCATACAGATTTAAGATATTCAGGGAACATTCTATACTTTGAAAAAGCTGTTCAAGCCATTCATTATATTTTAGTATACTAGTAATTTATTATGAACATACCTTTTACAAATTAAAAATTAAAGAAAATATAAATTTGGAGTTAATTTCTAGACCTCAAATATCATCTATAAACGTGATTTACCCCCAAATTTATAAAAATAAAAAATAGCAAACAGCTTGCTATTCAACATCACCTTCAGAGATTTTGCCACTTGAACATGATTATCATAGACTAAAATGTCTACTGACAGGTTCTGCAGCCGATGGATGTCACTTAAATCACCATGAACAACAAGGTCTTGTACTAAGACTCTCCAAGATGGATACGGGGTCCTGGTGCCATCCCACACCTGCCATAAGAAGGTAGAGCAAAGTTTAATGATCATTTTGTAAAACTGTGGAGGCTAAAAGAGTTTTATTTGCTGGCAATATAACTTATAAGTAATTATATGTATCCTCCCAAATATCTGCTAAACTTTAAGTATTATGTATACCCTTTTCTGATTGTACAAGGACTACATATGGACAGGTAATATGGAAAATGTAAAGAAAAAAGTTCAAACTACAATGACCCTAGAAAAAACATATTGTTGAACTTACTTTATCTTTTTTTCTTCTGTGTATTGATGTCTTTTATTATTATTTTTAATTCTGCTTTTCGTTTCTTAGTATATTATTGAGAAATCTATCAGAAAATTAAAATATTCTAAAATACGATTTTCAGTGGCTTTACATTATTTCATGATATGGCTGTATACCTATTTATTAAACCAACAATCCCTTTATTGGTCATTTGTTTCAAACCTTTCATACTATTTCAAATAATTTAGCAACTATCATCTTGTATATAAACTTTTATGAATATCTCTGTTAATATTCTTAAGTATAAATTCCTAGCTTTTAGGAATGTTTGTTCAGTTTGTTCTGATTTGGAAAAGGCCTTTAAAAGTACAGATATGACTATTTTGCTTATGTTAGATGTTATGAATACAAATGAATAAACGTCATGGGTGCTGGAAAAAGAAAAGGTATGTTGATTGCTATGTAAGGTGCATTCAGATAAAGATGGGAACAGGGGCACAGGGTGAGTATGTACTACCCCATCCTTGAGACGTGAGCCGGCCCGTGCTGTTTACTTAGGGTGTATGGCAAAAGACATTCGTATGAGGTGGGAATGTCTCTGCATGTCGGGAGTTTGACTGGAAAGTAAACAGGCTATTTTAATAAAAAACACTATATTTCCATACAGGACGTGTCTGCCAGTGTCAGATTACAAAGGAAGTATTGAATGATATTCGTGACAGTGGTAAGGTTCAAATAAACAATTATGAGTTTGTATCATTCATTCTGTTCCCTAAATAATTCCAAGACCCAGGACAATCACTCTGGGACCAGTAACATCATACATCACAAATATTTTTCTCCACTTGGAATTTGTTCTTTCATTTTGTATAGACTGCTTTTGTGATTTTAAAGTGGCTTTACCAACCAATCCACAAGTCCTTTGAGGAACTAAGGTACAGTGTTGCTTTTATGCTCCAGTTTTAATTGCCTAGAAATCAGACTTTTAACAATCTTTCTTCAGGCGTCCAGAACTCTGAGATAACACATTTATGTTATTTTAAGCCATCCTGTTTGTGGTAATTTGTTATGGCAGTCTTAGGAAACTAATAAAAGGAACTTTTTGGCGGTGATAAGAGAAAAATCTCCATGAAAAAAGTAAGTAAAAAACAGCGATGGCAAAGTAGTGTGCATAATATGCTATCATATATATATATATATACACACACACACACACACACACACACAAAAAGAGAAATAATATTTACATATAAACTAAAATATGTCTGAAAAGATATTCAAGAAACTTGCTTCAGTGGTGACCTGTTTTTTTTCTTTTTTAAAAAATATTTATTGATTTTTAGAGAGGAAGGGAGAGGGAGAGAGAGAAACACTGATGCCTCTTGCACGCCCACTACTAGGGATTAAGCCCACAAACCGGGCATGTGCCCTGACTGGGAATCGAGCCGGCAACCTTTTGGTGCACAGGATGACAACCCAACCGAGCCACACCAGCCAGGGCGGTTACCTAGTTTTTGGAGGGAGAGACTGAGAAGATGGGGATAAGAGAGGAACTCAATAGGATAAACTTTTCACTACATATCATTTAAAAATATCTTTTTAATTTCTGGGCAATGTTAAAATTACCTATGAAAAAAAGAAAAAGAAAATGCCTTATTAAAATACCACTTTCCACTTTTTTTTTTTTTAATATGACTAAATTTTCTATGTTTTGGTGAGTTAGATATTCTATGCACAATTATGTTAACGCAATGGAATGGCTGAATTAATTGTACGATGATGGTTTTATAACCCAGTTTGTACTCTACAGAGTGTTTGTCTCATGACTCCCATTTCATTTAGAAATATGCACTGGCTTTAGTGGCCCATCAGGGATTTTATTTTGCCTCCACTGTTGCTATTTTAACTTAAAGTTTTTTACATTCTCTAAGTCTCATCTAAAAATGGGTTTTTAAAGTTCCTTTAGTGTTACTGAGAATGTTAAATGAGATAATGTATATAGAATACTTAACACGATGTCTATCACAAAGCACGCACTCAGTAAATGTCACTACTGTACTGTGGTTATTGTTCACTAATCCTTTTAATGCCTTTCAGTTCTCTCTACTATCATTCCTTATGACAGTCATGCGCTGCTTAATGTCAGCAATATGTTCTGAGAAATACGTTATTAGGCAATTTTCTCACACGCGGACCTCATAGAGTACACTTATGCAAATCTAGACAGTACAGCCTACTACACACCTAGGCTATATGGTGTAGCCTATTGCTCCTGGGCTACAAGTCTGTGCAACATGTTACTGTGCAAAACATGAGATTAAGTCAAGCACAAGAGAAATGATGCAACCAAGAGACACAGTAAACACAATGTAGGAGATACATGAGGCTGCTGCTGGAGTAACAGGGCACCCTGCTACAGTTGTTTTGTTACTGTGTTCAATTTTAATTGAAAGCTTAATCTAATATGCTATGCTCTTTTTTCCCTCTGTTTATGAAGATATTTAAGGATCTAAATTTTGTCTTTTAGTATATCTCTAGCCTTTAATCTATTGTTATAAACATTATATTCTTAATAACCTATAATTATAATTCATTTCTCTTTGAAACAGCAGTATGTAGGTGAATTCTGTCTTTTTTAACATCTAAGTTTTTGGATTGTAACACATTTCAATCGATACATTAATTGATTCTAGTCAAAAGAATGTATTGGGCGAATATATTTGCAGTAATTTTGGGCGAATAAACATTTGCAGTAATTTTGCTATAGTAAAATTATTACCTTAAGAGTCAATCAGACTGTTTTTATTGTTAAATTACAATATCCCATAGTGATTTCTATTATATTTGAGTTTGAAAAGAAGTACACAATTACCAATAAAATAATTTTCAAATTTTAACCCAACATTTTATTTCATAATGTGTTACAATACTGGCAATAGAAATCTAATCGGCTGATTTTAAAAAATGATTTAAATTGATTTCTAACTCCTGAGGAAAGTATTTATTTATACACACACATTAAAAAAACAAAAACAAAAAGGTCTTGATCAAAACTCCAATGTATTAATACAAACTACATAGTAAAATTATGGCTGGTTTAAAAAAATTATGATAATTATTATAACTGATTTCTTTGGCATTAACTGGATCATTTATATAATATTCAGTCTTGTGTTTAGATTAGTTATATAGCACTCCTCTGCGGTTTGCATACAAATAAGTGGTGAAAATCAGAATAGTCCCTTTAATGTGATGATTTTCTGGTTTATGTTTTTTTTGTGTGGTTTTTTACAATCTCCAAATCATATTACAGGTTAGATATAAAAATTATCTACCACTGGCTTCCAATGATCTCTGGCTGTTTACAAACAAACAAAGCACTAAAAAGATGAGGCTGTGGATATCCAAGAAATATATGGACTTAAACAAAATCTAATTTAAGAGTTTACTGCTCAGAAAGTAAGTTGTGTATAAAGAATAGAGAAAAATGTGGATTAATGTTAGTAGGTCTACAGATATATTAAATCATGATTTTAATGCAAACCACTGGTGTAACATGTTTTCTAGAATAATTAAAATGAGTATATCACAGTTACTAATAAAGGGAGCCATGTTAATATCATATCCAGGTTGAGACAGGAAACAATCTATATTCCACGCTGACCAAGCCTCCTTTGGAGAACATCTGCATCTTTTTGTTTTTAAACATAATTTTAAAGTTATTTTTGGTTTGCAATAGGAAAATCAATTTCAGGAGGAAAAAAACTCACTCAAAATTTGACTTCCCAGAGATAAAAATGAGTAAAATATTGCTATATATTCATTTCCAACATTTGTCTGCTATGTGTAAGACATTTTTAGTATATAAAAGCTGCATTAATTACTGAGTGGAATGTCATGGATCTCAAGCTTAATAAACCTCGGTCTAGCATGCCATTATATAGAACAGGGTGCTCCATAACATGAATATTTTATTCAATTGATTCTCCACTGTTAGTACCTCAGTTTTTTCTAATTTTGTTACTGTAAGAAATATAAGGTTAAATGTCTTTTTAAATGTATTTTTCCACATTTTAAACTATTACTGTACAATAAATTTAGGAAAATAGAATTGTTGAGTCGGAGAGTATACAAAGACTTTGGAGATTTATTTTAAATTGTCCTTGAGAAAGTCTTATTAATGTAAATTCTTACATTCACTTCTGAATGCTGTATAAATAAAATAAAATAACACCTACATGAAAGCTGTTTTCACTTATCTGAAAAGGCTATCTATAAAAATGGGATGCAGACATATGGTTTGCTCTTTAGAGAGAAAATGTAGATTCAGCCAGGCCAGCTAAAAGGTAGCAGATTTTATCTTAGAATCTGAGAATTTTCCAACACAGTAGTCAAAAGATAGCATATACTTCTCTGCACAGTAGATTCCTTGTTATTGGAAGTATTCACTGATTAGCAAATGCTCATTTGTTAAGGATGTCATTTTGGCAGAAATGATGACTGGTTGACCTAATTTTTCTTTCCTAATTTTGGTAGGATGATTTTATTGTAGCTTTAGCTTCAGCGTTTCCATGACTGACTTACTTAACTTTCTTTATAGCATGCACTTACATTTTCAGAGTATTTAATGTGTATATAAACATGTACTATTATCAACTTCAAAAACTTCACATTTTACTCCAGATTTCTATCTTCACCAGTCCTTAATATGGGTAAGGTATAAATGATAATAATGCTAAACTCCAATATTTGTCCAAGTACCACTGCACTCCATATCCTGTCCTACTGTTGCAAAGAGTCAGAGCTAAAGAAAAACCACAGGACCGAGGCTGAAGCAGTGTTTGCTTAAATTCATCGTGCCTAGGATGGGTAGGGGAGGACCACACTAGACAACTGTCTTCTTCAAAAGCTGTTCATCATTAAACAGGGAGAGCTGTAACAAAGATTAGATGGGTCTTATGTCCCTTTTTTAATTCTGTTGTTTTAAAAACAGAACAAAACATAACAAGAGCAATAAACACTTCAAAACTATCTCTGATCTACCCAGGAAGCAGGCAGAGAAATGACATGAGAAGATAACTCAGCATCAAAGGGCCAAGGAAGTAAGTGAGGAGAAAGGCTACCTTGACAGGGGAGCAGAAATATGCATACAGCACTAAAATAAGAACTACATATTTTATTATACTGTAATAAGTATAATACAAACTATACTACATTTAAAATATAGATTTTAGCCCAGCTGGCATGGCTCAGCAATTGAGCATAGACCCATGATCCAGGAGATTTCGGTCAGATTCCTGGTCAGGGCACATGCCCCGTTTCTGGGCGTGATCCCCAGTGGGGGGCGTGCAGGAGGCAGCCGATCACTCTCTCATTGTTGGTGTTTCTTTTTTTCTCTCTCCCTCTCCATGCCTTTCTTTGAAATCAATAAAGATATATTTATACACACACACACACACACATATATATATTTGATAATACTATTTTTCTCTAGAAATATAGGATAAAGAAGAGAAATTCAAGAGCTGAGTTGCATGGATATCCAGGCTTATCAGAAACTGTACGTTAGATTTCAAGTTCTTCATGTAAGATACAGTATCCAGTTATTCCATCAGAATGCTAAAATATGTTCTTTATAGACATGTAGGTGGTGCTAACTAATAACTGCAAGTATTTAAAAATATCTACCTTTAGAAGAAATGATGCTCCATCCACTTCAGCTTTGCCCAAGAGCTGACAAGTCAGGTCAAAATACTGCATCGGCTGAACATCACACAATTTTACTAATGTCGAAGAAGGTGAAATATGAATAGATGCCCAAGCACGTAAGGTTTCTACCATTTTGTGGTCCTCAGTTGTGAAGTTAAAGTACTTGTTTGAAGTACGAGGGATAATAGGAGCTCCCAAAGTTCCCTCAAATGTCAAAGACGCAAAACCAGAGCTGGTGATACCTTGAGTCTCATTTTTATATACCTGGATCTAAGAAAGTGGGACAAAGTAGAAAACAAAACAGAAACACATAAAACTGCTTACTGATGCAGAAACTGGGAACTAAAACTTGAGAGACTATAAAATCTTGCCAGCATACTTAATAGAGGACATAGTTCTTTAATATCTCACTTAATTAGCATATGAAATTATAAAACCAATTGGGCTGTATATCAAGATCTGCAAGCACCATGTAAACTATGCAAAATCTATTTCTACTTTTTAAAGAACTAGCTGCTAGACTCCCTAATTCTATCAAACTTGTATTTTTCCATTTATTAGTTTTATTAGTTCTAAGACAGAATTTACAGAAGGAAANCCATTTATTAGTTTTATTAATTCTAAGACAGAATTTACAGAAGGAAAAACAAGTGAGTTACTTATGAATGTAATAGAAAAAACTGGACGACCTAAAATATGAGAGTTTGAAGCCAATAAAATGCAGCCGAGGCTGAGGTTTCATCAGTTTGAGCTGAGACATGCATTGTAGCTTTCTAAATTTTGAAGCTGTTATTAGATGCACATACATTTATGAGTTACATACTTACAAAGCAACCCTTTGTTGACCTTGTGAAATGCTCCCCCTTCTGATCCTTTGTAAACTCTGATATTAATACTGTTATTTTATTTTCCTAATGCTTACTGTTTGCTTGGTATATCTTTTCTACAGTTTTAATTCCGACTTGTTTGCATCATTTCTTGTAGAGATATATTTGGTTCTTCCTTTTTATCAATTTTTTCCTTGCAAATGGAGTATTTAGTCCATTTGTGTAAATGTAATTATTGATATGCTTATATTTAAGTCTACTATCTTGTTTTCCCTTTATAAAATTTTCTTTTTCTATTGTTCCTTTCCTGTCTTACTTTGAACATATTATTAGTCTTCCATTCACTTCCTCTTAGCCAAGAACGAATCCTTAACATGTCTACTCAGAATCAATACTGTTCTGCTACATTCTCCCTGTTTCCTATTTCACATTTTCCACTTTTCATATCCCACTTTACACTTTTTACTGAGAGTATAACCACCTCTACAGGGAAGAATCTTTCAGTGGTGTAATTCCGTTTAACCATCCCACCCATCCTTTGTGCTACTGTCATGTTTTTCTACGTATTTTACACACCTCACCTCCCAATGTAATTGTTTTTCTTTTAAATAGCCGTTTATCCTTTGGTGAAATTATAGGAAGAAACACAAAACACTATCTTTCATATCTGCTCGTTGATTAACCGTTTGTTTTTTGTTTGTTTTGTTCTTTGTCACTTTCTAATGATCGAGTTTCTGGTTGACAGCATTCTTCTTCGTCCTGCATACCATCCTTTAGTGCTTTCTTNTTGACAGCATTCTTCTTCGTCCTGAATACCATCCTTTAGTGCTTTCTTGTAGTGAAGATACTCTAGCTATGGACCCTCTCAATTTCGTTATATAAAAACGTGTCTTTTACCCTCATTTGTGAAGGATATTTTCTCTGGATACAAAAATCTGGGTGAATAGATTTTTTATTACAACTTAAAATTTATCACTACTTTGTTCTTCAGGTGTTATTTCCAGTAAGTAATCAAAGATGACTGGTACCAGTTTCCCAGTATGGAAGGTGTCATTTCTCCACCAGCTGATTTCAGTATTTTTTTTCTTTTCAGTGTCACCATGATTTATTTATATGTGCTTTTCTTTGTGGTACCATGGAGTGTACTGAGTTTCCTGGATCTATAAGCCAATATTTTCCATCAAAAATATTTCTGTATTTTTCCCATTCTCATTCTCTCCTCCTGTATCTCAAATGACATGTTTTACCATATACTATTCCACAGATGCCTAAGGGCCTGTCAGTTTTTCTTTAATCCTGTTCTTCAGATTACAAACTTCTACTGATCTACCCTCTTGTAAATGTACGATACATCTAATCTGCTGTGCAGCCCATGCAGTAAATTTTTCATTTTATTTGCTGCTCTTTTCAGTTACTCAGTTTCTATTAGGCTCTTTTGTAGTTTCCATTTGTCTACAGAAATTTATCTTGATTAATCACATGTTCATGTAATTTACTAAACATCTTTTGCTTATCTCTGAAAATATTTATAACTGCTTTAAAGCCTTGTTTTAAAATCTAACATCTGGGCGACCATGAGATTGGTTTGGAGTGTCCATACTTTTTTTTTGACTATAGGTAATATTTTCCCGTTTCTCTTCACGACTAGTATTTTTCATCTTTGCAAGACCTTGTAGATGATATACTATAAAAGGCTCTGAATTATGTTACTATCTTCTGACCAACACTGATTGTTTTTGCTGGCAGTTCAGTTGTTGGATGATCACCTTGTACTTATAAAGGTTTGGCTTTATGCATTGGTAGGATGAATCTGTGGAAACGCACAGTGTTTCCCAAGGTCCTTCTGCCTTGGTGGGATTCATCCTGCAATATTGTCTTCCCCGTAGGATTTACTTTAGGCTTTGATAAAACACATCTAGAGTAGGCTTTGCTCTAGGATTTGGTCCTTTGTGAGGTGAGGCCTTCGTGTTGTCTCAGCTGAACAGCCAACATATTAGATATTAATAAGGTTATCTATCTCTGAGTAGGTTAGACCTCCAGCATCCCCACTGCTACACCTATAGTATCTGTTTCATGTTTAACCACAATGTGCAGCCGCACAGCAGCTCCTGTAATCCTTAGGTAGTCTTATCCTGTCCATGTACCACCCAGCATTATCCAAGTATTCATGGGCAACAGTCCTACCCCAGTACACTTTTGGCCGTCCCCCTTGGTACAACTCTGTCCTCCCTGGTGAACTGTCTTCAAGACTGCAGCTGCCATGAACTCTGGTCTTAGCTGCCTCTGCTTAGCACTTGACCACTGCTTTTTGCTTGCACTTCAGAGTGCTGTGCAATGGTTGGAAAACTGCCCCAGACAGAACTGTGGTGACCACGTGGTTTACCTTGTCAGTTTCTCTTCTCTCTGATCACAGGTACCTGCTTGTCCATTATCTGAAACAGTTGCCTCATATATTTTGTCCATTTTTATGGATCTTTATAGCAGTAGTGCTTGTCTAGTACCAGTTAATTTCTCATAGACAGAAATTCACTCTGCAGATTCTAATTATATTCGTCCCATAACTGATCAATTAACTTGTTTTATACACTTAAATGGGTTCTGTTTGTTGTATATGCTGTTCTTTCTTTATTTAAGCTTTACTCAAATTTCTAATGATTCTTGGTTCTGTGTTCATCTTTCTTCGTATCTCCAATTCCATGTTCACTAGTCTGTACTGCTTGCTGAAGTCTGCTTCTGCTGGCCATCAGGGTAAACCAAAACAATTTTCCAGCTTAGGTGTGTTGATAACTGTTTTTCACATCTAACTCATCAGTAAGACTTTGTGCCACATTCAAATTATATCTTAATTTATATACTTCTATTTCCATAACCAGCCTAATCAAGTGATTCCCATCTCAAGTTTGTAAAACTGAAATAACCTTATAAATTATCTACTTTCATGTCTGTCTCCTAACAATCTATTCATTTGCCCACAGAAATGTCAGAATGCTTTTCTCAAAATATAAATCAAATCATTCTACTTAAAACCCTCTAATGAATTCCCACTGAATAGAATAAAATCTAAATAACTTACCTACCATAAGGCCATATATGAACTAGTCTCTATCTTCTCTCCAGTTTCATCTTGTACCACCCTCCCCTACAGTTAGCTGACTGGGATCCATAATGGCCTTCTTTCTGTTTTTCCAATAGCAGGCTCATAACAATCCCAGGGTCTCAGTACTTATAGTTCCATCTGCCTACAAAACATTTTTCCTCATATCTCAATGTAACTTCTCTTCCTCATGATTTGGGCTTTGAGACTTATGCCTCCTCACTAGAAAGGCCTTTCCTGATTCTGTTTCATTTTCTTCATAGCAGCTATCACTATCTGAACTTACCTTGGCTTATACGTTTACTTTTAAATTGTCTGTCTCTCTGCATTAAAACATAAGACTATACAAAATAGGAACCCAAAAATATTTGTGGAAATACTGACTCTTGTTTTATTTATATTTTTGCTATGAACCATGATCTCCAAATTGTGATGAGCATAAAACAAACAAACAAAACCAGAAAAAGTATTAAGAAATCCTGATATCTAAAGAGGTATCTGTATTTTTAATGACTTTCTCCAACTAAAAAAAAAAAACAATAAAAAACTTTCAGGGCTATTCAAAACTAGCTGAGCTATCACACAAAGAGAGTGTAAGACACACTACCAGAACTAAACGGGAACATTTCATAACAATAAAGAATCAATCTTAAAGGAAGACATCTTAATGCAAATCTATATAGCAACCTCAAAATACAAAAACCATAAAATATAATTAAATAAATAAGCCTAAATCCAAGTAGAAATAGATAAATCCTCTACAACAGTGGAGTCTTTAAAAGATGCTTTTCAATAGCTCATAAAATAAGTATGCACAAAATCAGAAAGGACATAGGAGATCTGAATGGCACAATTAACAAACATGATTGAATTTATACTTATAGAACATAGTGCCAAACAAGATTCACTTGAGTGTTCATGGATCATTTACTAAAATTAACCATTTGCTAGAACAGTGATTTTCAACCAGTGTGCCACAAGAATTTTTAAGACATGCAATACCTGACTATTTAGTCAGGAGCACTGATCCCTTTTGATTAGATTGTCATATCAAAAATGCCAACAGCCAGCACAACAGCTGCCTGGCATGAATGAATCTAAATTATACCTTTTTTTTTTGTCAGATCAGCAAAAAATATATTTTTGGGTGTGTCACAGAATTTTCATAATTAGTTTATGTGTGCCATGAGATAAAAAAGGTTGAAAATCGCTGTCCTAGAATATAGAGTAAACATCCACAAATTTCCAAATATTAAACACTTCAAAGTATGTTCTCTGACCAAAACATAGAGCAAATTAAAAAGCTAACTATAAAATAACCTAAATATTAAAAATGCATTTTTAATAAAATTACTTTATAAGAAATAATTTATTTAAAGTACAGCATATTCATAAACGTAATTTTAGAAGTATACTGATTTCAGAGAATAAATCAATTGGAAATTAGAAAATATATTGAACTGAAGGATAATGAAACTGTCACACATTAAAACTTGTTGGATAAAAGTAAAGAGTATATAGAGAAAAATTTATAGGCAGAAGTGCATATTTTACAAAGAAAGGTTGAAATTCAAGGATTCAGACTTCCATCTCAAGAAGCTACACACACACAAAATTCACAAAAGAAAAAAGAAAAAAAGAAGCTACACAAATAATATCTCAAACCCAAAATAAATAGCAGGAAAAAGAATAGAAACATACAATAGAGAAAAATTAAAGTGAAAAGCTGCTTCTTTAAGAGATTAATATAAATGATAAACCTAGAAAGACTGATCTGGAAAAAAGCAAAAGAGACACAAATTATAATATCAAGACTGCAAGAAAGAGATTTATCATTACAAATCCTAAGACATCTAAAAAATAAGTGATATTATGACCAACTTTATATAAACAAATTTGAAAATCTGGGTAAAACAGACACACTTTTCTAAACATTAAATTTATCAAAGAATTTGTAATTGTTTAATAAGAATCTATCAGTGAAACCGTCACCAGGCTCAGACAGCATCACTAGTGCATTATTCCAAGCATGTAAGGAAGGAAAAAAGGAATCTTGCACAAGTTCTTCTCGAAGTGAAAAGGAGGGCATGCTTCCTGTTTTTATGAGGCAACACAGCTTTAATTAACAAACTGAATTAATAATTAATAAGGAAATTTTAGAAAAAGAAAATTAGAGATCTAAATGTAAAACAGAAAAACAACAAATGACTTAAAGAACAACCAGGTGAATCATGGCATCTAATACATTTCTGTGGAAGGAGGGCAGGCAGTTTGTTCAAAAGAAGAGGTTTCTAGCATAAATTATTTGAAGCCTGATACAACTTACATTTCTTCTTATCTCTGAAATGCTTGAATGCTTGATGTCACGTTCTAACAAAGCAATCGAATAATTAATGCTAACTAGTTTTAGCAAACAATACAGAGTTCTCTTTACAAGATACAATTTCTAGACAGTATGAATCATACCTTCAGCCTGTGAAAGCGCACAATGTCTCCACTTTTATAGATTATTGGGAGGCTTTCATAATTTCCACTAAAGAGCAGGCAGGTTAACTTTACATTTGTCTGGTCCACAATGGTAACAACAGAACAATAATCTGGAAAACACAAAAATATTTTACCTGACTTTTAGTATTTCAAAGGATTTGACAAAATAAGAGTATGTTCAGTTCAAAATACCAAACAAACTTTATCCCTACCTTTAATTAAGTCTTCTAAGAATAAGATAAATACGATAAATAAGCATTTTCTTTGCTCTCAAAATGCACTACAAAATTATTTTACAAGTGTTTCACAAAAACGAAATTTAGTAAAACAAAAATTAAAATCCTACTTTAAATAAATTGAAGTGTCAATAACTTTGTATTACTTCAAAGTTAACAATCATGATGCAGATAAACACACTCACTAAAATGTAATGTATAAAATAAACAACTTTAGAGTGAAAGCAAAAGACAGATGTTTGCAACAAATGTGAAGGTGAGTTGATATACTGCATAAAGGTCCTATGAAAACTCGTTACAGAACCTAGGATTTCAGCCCTGGCCTGTGTGTTCAGTGGTTAGAGCACTGGCCTGTGTACCGAAGGGTCTCAGGTTCCATTCCCAGTCAAGGGCACGTATCTGGGGTTCAGGTTCGCTCCCCATCCCTGTTTGGGGCACGTGTGGGAGGCAACCAGCCAATACATCGATGCTTCTCTCCCACTCTCTCCACCTCCCTCCCTCCCTCTTTCTCTGAAAAGCAATGGAAAAAATATCCTCAGGTGAAGATTAACAAAAGCAAAAAACAAAAACAAAAAAAACCTAGGATTTTACAGTATATATGTAATTCAAATGAACAAACAATTCATTGAAAATTATATAACAAAATCAAACAGGTAACGATGATCTGCTAGCTAAGTCTGTAAGATTACACACTAGAACAAGAGGTATTTTATATAATTTAAACTGGAAAAAATTTTAACAATAGTTGAGCTGCCATGAAAACAGTAACTTCAAATACTGGTTGTAGTAAAACTGTAACATATGCTGCCTTTTAATATGTTTCAGAAAACTGCACACACAAAATATGTGTTGACTTCCTATCCCTCCCAGTAGCCTAGTAATTACAACATAGAGATAGAAAAGAATAAACCTACAACAGTGAAGGAAGGGGAAAAGAGAAGGGCAGAGAAAAGTAAAGGGCAAAAGGCACCAACATATTTCAGGAAGATAGGAAAGTAAATGGTTAAGGGATAAAATGAACTGGCTCCCATCAATAAATCAACAAACAACAAGCGCTGGCGAGGATGTGTGGAAAAGGGAACCTCGTGCACTTTTGATGGGAATGCAGATTTGGTGCAGCCACTGTGGAACACAGAATGGAGTTTCCTCAAGAAAGTAAAAATGGTACAATTAATTCCCAGCAATCCCACCTCTGGGAATTTATCCCAAAACACTAATTCGAAAGAATGTATGTGCCCCTATGTTCACTGCAGCGTTACTTACAATAGCCAAGATTATTTGGAAGCAGCTCAAGTGCCCATCAGTAGATGAGTGGATAAAAACGCTGTAGTACGTTTACCCCGTGGAATACTACTCTGCCATAAAAAAGGAAACCTTACCCTTTGCAACAGCATGGATGGACCTGGAGAACATTATGCTAAGTGAAAAAAGCATGATTTCATTTAAATGTGGAATCTAATGAAGAAAATGAACTAACACGCAAAACAGTGACAGACTCATAGGATGAAAGGCTGACAGCTGGGGGGGGATGGGGAGAAGGAATTGAGAAAAAAAGAGAACAAACTCACAGACATGGACAACAGTGTGGTGACTGCGGCGGGGAGAGGTGTGAAGGGAGAGGGAGGAGGGTAAGGGGGAAAAGAGTGATGGATGGAGATTTGACTTGCGGTGGCGACCGCGCAATGCCACGTACAGATGATGTGCTGTAGAGTTACACACCTGAAACCTGTGTAATTTTGTTAATCTGTGTGACCCCAATAAATTCAATAAGGAGGAAAAAAATAAATTTTAAAAAGGGACAAAATGAACAGAAGACACTGCAAACCAGAAAATACTATAAAATGGCTATAGCCACTGGGATTAAGAGTGGAAGTAAAAAACAGAGCCAGAATCAATGTTAATTAAAAGTTTACACACAGAATAACTGTTTCAGTGTCCATCCATCCTGACGCTCATTCCCCGTGAAAAGGACATCATGTAAGCAGGCATGAAATCTGCCTTTAACCCCATCGCTTCCTGGAGCATAAGCTGTTTTCTATGAAAGGGGTAAAAGTGCTTTCTATGAAGTGGTAATGCTTCTAATGTGGGTGCTACTGCCCAGAATAAATTCCCCTTCATTATCACATCGGTGGGCCCACAGCCTGAGTGACCGCTCCCTTCACACCCACCCTGGCTGACACTTTCAGCCAACACCCTATGCAAGCACTAACAGTCTCCAACAGATTTCTCACTCAAGGAAGGTGTCAAGTTGGAAAAACAAACTACTTATATACAAAGCAAGAGACAAATTCTACAACCCAAAATAAACCATACCTACATTTTTAAATGCAAAGACAGCAATGACCAGAAACAAAACAAAAATGGAAGGGGGGAGGGAGGGAGAGGGA